CATGAAATTCATAACCGCAATTTGCGTTCAGTGTACAGCTTGGCTTTAAATACTCCTTACAACGTAACTTCATTTTATAATAAATCATTTACTTCACTAGCAACGCGACTTTGGAATTCATTACCACTTAACATTCAGAAAGCGCAATCTTTACAGTCTTTTAAAAAACTACTTAAGGAGTATTATTTGAAGTTCCCGTCATAATAATAAATTATATTTATTTCTCTTCTCATATATACTTGATTTTTTTGTTAAATTTTCTCTGCAGTATATGTTTGAATATATTAAATTAAAATTATTGTACATATATATGTATATATGTATGTATATATCTATGTATATATATTTTAAGTATGTATATAAATATATATATTTATAATCATTAAATATTGTATATATTATTGATATATTTTTATAAATATTATTCTTAATAATTTTTTTTCATGTTTATTTCATATTGCACGTTGCACCTATCCGTCAAAATATAAAATTATAATGTCCTTTTGTGTTCATTTTGTCAGGCAGAAATCGCTTAAAGTGATATGACCGCCGTTTGTAGTCATAACGTTATTGTAATAACTTTGTTCAAATGCAATAAAGAGTTATCTATCTAATTTTTTTATTCATGTAATTTATTTCGTAAATCCGCCGTAAAAAACAAAGATTTAAAAAAAATCATCGAAATTGGATGATTTTTCGATTTTCTAGAGCGAAAAAACGAAGGGACGGCGATAGTACAAAATTACTAAAATTATCATTAGAATTAAACCTATGTAACAGAAATCTCAAAAACATGGTGAACAAAAGTCAACTTACTCATGTGCCAAGTTCATTTAACCAAAAAACATTTAAATGCAATGACTTTGACTTACTTCAAATATGACAGAATTAATTAACTTTAAATTTATATACGTGGTAGAGCCATGCTGCAGTTATATAGTTATAGCACGAATAGGTCGGCTCGACTGGGTAAGGACCACGCCCTCACACTCACCTCTCGCTCTCAACAGCGTGAAATAGTAGCTTAATACTGCTGTATTTCGTATGGTGAGTGAAGAGAATCGGAGACCCTTTTTACTGGAAACGAGGCATTCCATCTTAGTCCTCACGGGTGACAACGCATCCGCATTTTGTTTTGTAATTGAGGATATATGTAGATGTCCACGGGCCGCAGCAACCACTTACCATCAGGTGGACTGTGTGTTCGTTTGTCACCCTATCCTATATAAAAAAAAAGTTGACTTACGCATAAGCTGCAGCATGACTCTACCATGTATCAACAACATATAAGGTTAATAAAAACAAATTTGAGTATGTATATTTTATTTGTATTTCTAGTAAAAATATAGTAAATATAATACATAAACAAGAATTTTAATTAATAAAAACTAAAACATTACTTGGAGATTCAACATCAATATGAAATCATCAAATAACAAAAACAATTTTTTTTACTGGATTTTGATATACAAAATGCAAAAATGAACTTAAAATTTATAATAAGAATTTTAATTTATTATATGTTGGTCATGTAAAAATTGACTGAAGAGATTTTATAAACAAGAATTTTAATTAATAAAACCAATATTACAAATCTTGAAGATACATCACTATGAAATTATCAAATAACAAAAACAAAAATGTACCTAAAATTTTAATTTATTATACGTTGGTCATGTAAAAATAGAGTGAATAGAATTTATAAACAAGAATTTTAATTAATAAAACCAACATTACAAATGTTAAAAATACAATTTCACTATGAAATTATTAAATAACAAAAACAAAAAATGTACCTAATGGGATTTTGTTAAGAGTTAAAGAAAATCTTTTACAAAATGTAAAAATGGACTTAAAATTTAGAATAAGAAATTTAATTTATTATAATACACTCAGCGGCACGGAACCTTGGCCAAGTGCTTATCACGCGATAGCAAGAGCGTTAAGTGTTTCTGATGAACAACGCCGGCTTAGACCATACCGGAGGCCTTGGGCACACAAGAATTTCGGGCCCTGTTGGAAAGTAAAAAAAAAGTGAATGACAAAAACATTTTTCTGCTATGATCTTATATTTATATAGTTAATTGGTAAAAATCAAATAATATGTCATTAAGAGGTCTCTAATCCACGACTTTTTCTGCCACCAGGGCGGCGCCACTTTATAATGAGGTAAAATATTGGACAGATTTCATAGCCTTTAATGTTTATTTCTATACAAGGTGAAAGTATAAACACCGTTGTCACTAAAACCATAGGTAGTTGGCTTTAAATTAAAAATATTTATCCGAATTTAAAAAAACGCTATTTTCTTTCATTAAATTTAAAAAATTTCTGTCCGACACCGTCCATAAATTCATGTATACCCTATGCATCCGAGTGACGTAATCATTGTAAAAATCACCGCCCGCGCTAGCTACCTACACAACATTCCAATAAAAACACAATAGGTATACATAACCTGTGATGCAACTTTTCCTTCATACTTTCATGCTGGTTTAGGGCAGGCAAAAATTGAGACTTTACTAAAAAAAATTGTTCTTTTTAATTGAATTTACGTTCTATAAGTGAAACCAAACCACTGGTTTCAAGGATAACGGTGTTTATACTAACATCCTGTATTAGTTATATTTTATATTAATTAGATTAGAAATGAATAAACCAAACCATAAATATAACTAAAAGTAGAAAAATTAAAGAAAAAAGAGTTATAAAGTGCCAAAAATTAAAAATCAAACCACTGACGCATTGTGTTGTGTATTAGTATAATACTCTAGAATCTAGAGTATTATACTAGAGATTATCTAGAGTCTAGATAATAGTAAAATATTATATAAAACAATATATCAGCCTTTCATCACCAGGGCCCCTGTGACGATAGGGGCACGGGCACCGCGTGCCCTTATGGTAAAGATGGTACTGCTGATGAATGTTTGTTATGCAGGTATGTCAAAAAATGTTTACCCTCAAGTTCAAGAGGGTAATTCATTATGTTTAAGTGCACCATGACGTCATTTGAGCGACTAAGTTCACATTTTTAATTTGTGTTGCGAAAAGTTTACTGTAAGGTTATTCAATTATTGTGATCTTGTATCTTAGTTCAATAACTAAAGCTACTTTGAAACCAATAAAAATGCCATTAACACCAGCGTAAGTTGCGCAAGCAGTAGTATTAATTGACCAAGGGCGGACACAGCGTGAAGTTGCTATTGTGCTACGTAGCACGGTCCTCAGTGCAGTATGCACTGAAACGATACCAGGAGACAGGCCGCTACACCCGCAGGCCAGTCAGTGGTGGCGTAAGGTGCACATCGGCCCGGGATGATCATTTTATTATTCTGGAGATTTTGAGAAACCGCTACCTGACCGCTCTTGAGTTACGCCAGCGGCTCCAAATCGCAAGAGGCGTTAATGTTAGTGAGCGTACGGTGAGAAGACGAATGGAGGAAGTGAATTTAAAAGATCGTAGACCAGCACGAAGTCCAGAACTTCTCAGACAACACCGAGTAGCCAGACTCCAGTTCGTAAGAGAACATGTCAATTGAACCCACGAGCAATGGGCTAGAGTGTTGTTCACAGATGAGTGTCGAATATCTTTACGTGCTCCAGACGGTCAAGAACGATTGTAGAGAAAGAGGAGAGAGGTTTCTACCCATTACCATCATGGAAACTGAGTTTCCATGGAGGCTCAATAATGGTATGGGGGGGGGTGTAAGTTACGTGCGTCAGGCACGTACAGAATTGTTCATCGTCGATAATCGGCTTACAGCTACACGATACATCGAGGAAGTTTTTAGGAGCACGTAACGCCTTATTCATTGGAGATTGGGTTCATTGGACACGACCAATTCCTGCTCATGCACGATAATGCCGGTCCACACGTCGCACACTGTGTAGAGGAATATCTGGAAGAGGTTGGAATACAAAAGTTACAGTGGCCAGCTCGTAGCCAGGACTTAAATCCAATTGAGCATGTGTGGGGCATGCTCAAAAGAAAGATAAAGTCCAGATACAAACCGCCACGAACTCTAAATGAACTCCGAAATGCAGCACTGGCCGCTTGGGACAGCATACCGCAAGTTGATGTCAGAAACATGACAGATAGACAATAAAGAAACAGACTTAATTTCTAACTTTATAGTGTTTTTAAAGCGATGTTAATTTTAGTGAAAACATGTTATCTTGAATAGAAAAACTTTGGTGAAGTAAACATTAAATTTCTACATTCTAAAACCATTAGACACTTTTTGACTCCATCTACCCTTAATTTGCTGTTAATAAAACGTTAAATTACTGTTAAAAAGGCGTTCGCGACTTTTTTCTCGCGAGCATTGAGCTATAATCTATAATGCTTCTTTCTCATTTGACCACATTAAATCTTATGAGTTTATGTGTCTGTCTCTTTTACTGTCGCTTTTTCGTTTCATAGACTTTCAAATTACAATGATGCTAAAGAAGTTTTTACTTCAAAACCAAAACATTACAAACCTTGAAAATTCAACATCAATATGAAATCAAATTACAAAAACAAAAAATGTTACTGGATTTTGACATAGAGTTAAATAAAATATTTTAAGTAATGCAAAAATGGACTTAGGATTTAAAAAAAGAATTTTAATTTATTATATGTTGGCCATTATAAATTAAAATTCCTCTTTTTTAATTCCAAGTCCATTTTTGAATTTTTTAAAAGATTCCTCTTTAACTCAATATCAAGATCTAGTAAAATTTTTGTTTTTTCTAATTTCATATGTTCATGTTGAAGTAGAATCTCCAATATTTCTAATTTTTTTGTTGTGATAACATCTTCATTCATTTGCTTCTGGTTTTTTTCTTTTTATTATTGAAGCACTGATGTTATTTATATTTTTCTGTTTTGGTTCAGTTACACAAATATTTTTTCTTGGTGTATTATCTGATATCAGAATAGGGGAAATTCTTCTTTTACAAACTTCCACTGGTTGAGGTTGATCCACAGAATCTTCTTTTGCACCCAATACTTCTTAAGAAGAATCTTGCGTATTGTTTAACTCTTGTGTTTCAACAATATCTGTAACGAATAAATTGCAAAAATCAGTCACTATTGTGTAATGTGTAATGTAACTTTAGCTGATGATTGCGCAGACTAGTCTGTATTAAGAAATTTGTGCATGATTATTTAATTATATTTTGTTTCATTATCTTTCCGAGTTTGATTAGATATTAACTATATTTTCAGTGCAATTTACATTGATACTTTTAATTCTGGTAAAGCCAGTTAACAAACTACTTTATCAACATTACATTACCTATCGCATTGAGTTCGTCCTAAGTTATATCTACTTTATCAACATAATGAAATGACTAGTGCATATTTGATTCCTTCCTTCCTTCCCTTTCCTACCGCACGCGCTGCCGCCGAGGTGAAGAAAAGGATCTCAGCGCGCGTCATATTAAGTGACATTACGTTCTCCGCAACGCACGGCCAGCCGTCGCGTCTTAGATATATTAACTGCAAACCGCGCAGGATGAACATTGAGTTCTCCTGTTTATGTTTAATATTCACCGCATCAGACATTGTGTCTTTGTAACTCATAAAAGTGTGAGACGCCCCCGTAAGGGCAAAGGTCGAGAGTGTGGGACTTCACGAAACTGTTCCGAGAGTGCGTGTGCGCCGAACACGTGGCGGGCCCGCTGTATAGCAGACACTCCAGGAGAAAACGAGGCAGTCCTCATCAGGTCAGTGCGTGCTATTCCACCTACTTATTTACCCCTTTGTCGTATGCACCAAAAATTACAGTCCACTAAATACTTAACGAAGATACCTTAAGTTACTGGCGTCTCCATTTTAATGGTCACTTCTCGCCGGATTGACCTTGACCTTCCGCCCTTATTAGATCGTTATCGTAATAAGCGTTTATATAATTAATTATTTATATTTCAATCCGACCTCGGATTGACCCCGCCCTTATTAGAACACTAAAATAGGTCCTAATAGGTGACATCCATATTAATTTTAAAACTATAATCATAGAATGAATAAGCATATAATTATTTATATTTAAATTATTTTGATGTATGTTGACATCACGTCATCAACTTTTAACTACAACTATAGACTATACTGTTTGATGAAATTACCTTTATTATTTGCATATATATTTAAGCATTATATTCGTTATAAATAACTTCATAATTACTAAAAGTTAACAATTAAAGTTCATCGTTAACAAACTAATATTTAACAATTCAACCGCGTAACGAGGTCGCTTACAGACTATCCGCTTATAATTATATTTTTGCCGTAATGCCGCCTAAAAAACAAATAGCATCGAATAACAGCGATTCCTCGGATAATGAGGGCACACCTGATGCTGAGTTGGTTTTATTGTTAGCTAAACGAGATACTTTATTTGAAATAGTGCAAAAAAATATATGATATGTTCTCGGACATCCACACACACACATCCACGATGGAGCGTTTTCTTGATGGAAGTTCTAATATTAATGCTTTACGTATTGAGTTTGAACAGGTCTTAGATAATTATAATTCACATTTATTAAAAATAAACCCTATCGCTAAGCCTGACTATAACAGCCTTATTGCGTTTGAGTCTCTTTGCGGTAAAATAAATAGGCTTCATTTACAATATTCGCAATCTAATTCACAAAGTACTAGTACACCATCTGAAGCCAGATTTACACTTCCGCCTATCGAACTTATGACATTTTCGGGTGACATTCGCTCATGGCCTTTATTTTATGCTAGCTTTAAATCAACCGTCCATGACAACCCATCGCTCACCGACGCTAAAAAGTTATACTATTTACTTGGTAAACTAACGGGCAAAGTCCTATCTGTATGCTCAGGTATAACTCCTTGCGCTGAAAATTATAAAATTTTATTGCAAGCACTCGTTGACAAATATGAAGACCGGCGTATGCTAGCCTCCACGTATATTAATCAGATGTTCGAATTTAAGCCATTGCAATCGGCCACCGCAAATAATTTTGATTTATTTACTGATAACTTTATAAGTGCAGTGCGCACTTTACAAAACTTAAAGTTAGATAATCTCGCGGACTTAATTGTTCTTCATATCGCGCTTAAGAAGCTGGACCCGGATACCATTCGCTCTTTCGAATACAGTCATAACTCGATAGTACCTACCTTTGATGATTTAGTAAATTTTATTAAGACCCGCTCCAAAGTTTTGCAACGCACCGATTCTAGTACAAATTCTAATAGCGCACCAAACAATCGACGAGGTAACGGTAATAATCGTCGCTGTAATAATAGTTCGTCGCCGAAGTATCAGGCGTACGTAAGCACGACGACTAGTTGCTCAAAGTGTCTGTGCGATAATATTGTGCATCAACACCTATTTAAGCGTGCAAACTTTAATAAAATGACGCCGCAGGAACGATTTAAATGCGTAAAGAGTAACAATGCATGTGTGAATCGTCTCAGTTTAAGTCATCGAGTGTCTAGTTGCTCTTCAAATTATAGTTGTGGAGTTTGTAAATTTAAACATCACACATTGTTGCACTTCCACCGCAGAAGTGATAATGCCTCCCCTGCGCTGGCGCATTCTCCACCGCCTCAGCCAGTTGTGCTGAAGTCTACAGCTCCCGCGCCCGCACACTCGCCACCCCTCACCGCAGGAGCTCGTTCGGACGTCGCGCTGTGTACTTCGTTCGCGAATGTTTCTCAACGTTCACCGCCTCCCGCACACGCAAGTCGTTCGCAGATAAGTGTTTTATTATCAACCGCTCAATTCTTTGCATACGATGCTAAGGGAGAGAAACAAATTATTCGTATATTATTAGACTCCGCGGCTCAAAGCCATTTTATTACTAAAGAGCGCTGTCATCGTTTAGGCGTCCAACAACACGATACCGAATGTACTGTAGTAAAGGGATTAAGTAAAGGAATTCGGTGGAGTCGAAAAATTGTAAAATCGAAATCGATTGATATTAAAATTTTCTCACGATTCGATTCGAATATTAACTTCAATATTTCAACGCTAGTTGTTGATCAAATCACCGACCTTTTGCCCACCGCTGTGGTAGACACATCTGTCTTATCACACTTCCATGGCATAAGGCTCGCTGATGAATGTTATAGCGTGCCTAATAAAATTGATGTTTTGATAGGCGCATCCCTTTTCCCGCACTTACTGTGTCCAGACGTAATTTATTCGTCTAACGACTTGTCCGGGCCCTTGGCTTTGAATACGGTATTTGGTTATGTTATTATGGGCTCAGTGCCGACACTTCAGGTAAAAGTTAGATACCAACCCCCCTTCGACCCCCCCCCCCCCAGTTTTATAAGTCTACGACATCCCGCGATCCTTTTACTGGTAGATACATTGTCGGCCTGCCATTTAAAGATGACGTTTACTCTCTCATCTCCGAGAGAGTAAACGTCATCTTACGAGTCCTCTCGACGACGATTCATGTGATTGGAGAGGAAACTTCAAGCCTCGCCTACATTAAGGTTAACATATGATGACGCCATAAAGGAATACTTAGCTAAAAATTACATATCCCCGCACCTCCGTATGGCTCTCATGAACCCGCTCCAATATATGTCATACCGCATCATGGAGTCTTACGCGAAGATAAGAAGTCAACACGTCTGCGCATCGTCCTGGATGCTAGCAGTAAGACTAGCAATGGGCGAGCATTAAATGATATCCTGCATTCAGGACCAAATTTGCAAGGCGACTTGTTCAATATAATTTTAACTTTCCGCTTACATCCAATCGCTATGACAGCCGACTGTCGCCAACAATTCCTGCAAATAGTTGTTCGCGATTCTGATCGTCGTTACCAAATCTTTCCTATACCGATTCCGTCCACAAGACCCACTTATGTTGTACCACTTCAATCGTGTGTGCTTCGGTTTAACTTCGAGTCCATACCATGCATTGCGCACGGTAAGACAGTTCATTGATGACGACGGCGCAAAGTATCCACTTGCGAGTCGTATCGCATCTACTTCGCTATATATGGACGAGTTCGCGTTCTCTATGCCCAGTGAATCCGAGGCCAGTGAGACCTCTCGGCAGCTGATAGACTTATTCAAGGGTGCCCAATGGGACCTGATAAAATGGCATACCAACCGTCGATCTGTTTTAGATGACCTCCCTACTTCCCATAAAATTACAGGGGAAGTAGAGTTCGATAAATCAATGCCACATAAAATACTAGGCTTGCATTGGTCTACCGATAGTGACGCCTTTTACTTTAAGATATCTGTTACCGCTGATGTGACGTGCACTAAGCGCGCCATCTTATCTACTGTCGCCCGCCTGTGGGACATAATGGCTTTCGTTGCTCCCACAGTCGCGTACGCCAAATTGTTAATAAAGCAGCTTTAGCAACTTAATTTAGATTGGGACGAGATACCACCACCAATTATTAAGATGTGGAGGCAATTCTGTGCTGAATTACCAGCTCTTAATGATTTACGTATCCCGCGACATGTTGGTGTATCCAAAAAATGTACTGCGTCACTCGTGGGGTTTTCCGACGCCAGCGAGCACGCATACGGTGCCGTAGTTTACATACACGTAAAGAGCGTCAATGGTAACACCGTCCAGTTGATTTGTGCAAAGACTAAAGTCGCACCGACCAAACCACTATCTATTGCACGCCTTGAGCTTTGTGGAGCGGTTTTACTCTCAAAATTGCTTCGCAGAGTACTCGACAATTATTCTCTTGACCTTGCAATATCAGTCTATGCCCTTGTAGATTCAAAAGTAGCTCTGTACTGGATAAAGAGTTCGCCACAGAAGTGGCAGACCTTTGTTGCAAACCGCGTTGTTCAGATTACCGACAATATTCGCGCTGATAACTTTTATCATGTCGCAGGTACTGAGAATCCCGCTGACATACTTTCACGTGGCGTTACGCCAAATAAATTAGTTTCAAACCCCCTGTGGCTTCATGGGCCTCAGTGGACCTCATTAGATCCATCTCAATGGCTTCTTCGTACTTTAGACAATGAGGTTATTGCAGACATGCCTGAGAAGAAGATTTTGTCACACGCTGTGTGCACATCCATCTGTAATTCTGCGATTTATGAGCTCGCACTCCGCATCTCTTCTTGGAGTAAACTTCTACGTATAATTGCGTACGTGTGTAAGTTTGCTAAATTATTGCCCCGCCGCAGCACTACTGTAGTGACTGCTGATGATCTCAGTTTCTCTGAGGTTATAATGCTCCGCGCCCTGCAAAAACAGCATTTTGCAGTGGAATATTTAAATATTGAAGGTAACAAACCTTGCTCACCCGCTTTCAATTGTTTAAGGCCTTTTATTGAGAATGGTTTGATCCGCATTGGTAGTCGTCTTTCGAACTCCGCATTAGATTACACGCAAAAACATCCAATTATACTCCCGCGCAGTGATCTTGCGCAAAAGCTCTAAGCGCGCCAGAGAGACAACCTTACGGGGGGAGACTCCTGGTCTATGGTGCGATGGAAGAGAGCGGTGCGCGACTATATCTCACACGAGGTGAGGCGGTTACTCCCGGAGCGCGACTGCTCCGGGCTAATGCGGTTGAACTAGCGGTGCGCGTGGGCAAAGCCCTCTAGGACTCGACTGTCCTCGCCGGTGTGGTTCCAACTGGAGCGCGAAGGGAAGAGAGCACACGTAGGCCGTGCGCGCACTTATATTTTCTCGTTTGCGAGAATCACGTCACATTCTAGAAGTTTCTTCTTTCCCCTCTCACCCCACCACCCCGGTGTGTCGGAGGGACGACAGGTGAAGGAAAGGTCGAAGGAAGGACAAAACGCTTGGCAAGCCTACCTTCGAATAAAATAAAAATACGAATGGTTTTTCGCGCAACCAAGTTTATTTTATAACCCTATGCTGAAACAGTGGATATATAAGAAGAATTTAACCAAAACATCAGTTAAAAGCATACTTAAAAAATGCTACATTCTAATGTAATACGATTTAGAAAAACACTGAACTTACATACCTATGTTGTAACATGGTGCTGATGAGTCAAAATCATTAGGTAATGGTTCAAGTTGTGGAGTCAACAAGGCCACAACTTTTTCCTCAACTACAGTTGTCTTAGGGGAAAATGTTTCTTCTCCTGTCTGGTACAGCTCGGACTGAAATTAAAATTTAACATGTTACATTACATACTTGTCTGATACTATTGCGTAACTTTATATGAGAATCAATTATTAATGTGAACACTCCAAGGCAATAACTGTGCCTATGAAGTAGGCTATATCGCACGTTTAATCAAACATAGAAATAACTCAAAAATCGGTTATTCTGAGATTTAATCATAAAACGCAATAACTCAACGCAAAGAACACGCGCGCTCAAACAGCCGTTCGAATTGAACAAAATCTGAGTGAAATGGAAGGTCGTCCGTCTCTTTCTGATTAACGCGTCCTGACAGGTTGAAACCAATAAACAGAGATACTTTCAGTCTTGTGTCAGTGGTATAGAGACTAGGATCCCGTTTCAGTCAATTGAATAATGCAATAAGCCGAAATAATTCTATGCATTATTAACAGGTGAGTAATTTTCCTGGTTTTATTTATTCGAATAGCGGTACTATTCGGACTTATTTCACTTTATTACAAAAATTTGTTTGAGTTTCACTGATCCTATTTCGTGTTATTACAGTTTAGTTCTTAATCTAATAATAAATCGTATGAATGAATACTAGTTATTTCAGTTTCATTTTAAAATATTTAGTTTATTTATAGAACAAATAGAATTACTCCAGTTTAGTATAAAATAACGCTTTAAATATGAAATTCAATTTTAATTATTCCTGTTTAATTTTAAAAAAGTCCTAAACATTATTTTTGCATTATAAGTTATTTTTCTTTCAAAGTAAAATTATAACTTATTATTAATCAGGTTCAACAGTATTACAAATTAAATTGTATAATAACCATTGTCGTAATGACCATCAGTATCAGTTTTATAATGATAATAATAATAATAATATCGTGGAACTAAGGAACCACTCCTCATTGACGCGGTCATAGGCAAAGTGGTGAAACGCAACCGTCGGAACTTCTCTGCCGCCTGGATAGACTACAGAAAGGCGTTCGACTCGGTGCCCCATACATGGCTAAAGAGGGTCCTCGAGCTGTACAAGATTGACTGTGCAGTTAGAGACTTCCTCGAGCAGTGTATGGGGCAGTGGAGTACGATCCTTTGTCATCTGGGTGAGCGAATGACGGCTGCGGAGAACTACATAAGGATAAGAAGGGGTATCTTCCAGGGCGATTGTCTGAGTCCAATCTGATTCTGCCTCTCTCTTAACCCTCTCAGTACCTTACTGGAGGGCTCCGGGAGGGGATTTCAGCTACGGAAAGGAGGGACAAAAGTGACCCACCTTTTCTATATGGATGACCTCAAGTTATTCGCCTCCAGTCGCTCCCATCTTATGGAACTGCTAAACATCACTTGTGAATTTAGCAGTTCCATTGGAATGGAGCTGGGGACGGATAAGTGTGCGGTCCTCCATGTTGAAAGGGGAAGGGTTGCTAACTCTGAGGGCATAGACTTGTCTATGCCCGTCAACTTAAGGACCCTTTCCGAGGCTGAAACATACCGATACCTGGGTATGTCACAGAACATCGGTGTCGATGAGGCTGGTATGAAACAGTCAGTTTGCGATGTGTTTTATGCACGCTTGACCAAAGTGCTTAACAGCCTTTTGTCCGGTGTGAATAAGACACACGCATATAACGGCTGGGTCATGCCTGCCCTCATGTATACCTTTGGCATACTCAGGTGGACTCAGACTGAGCTTAACGCCCTGGATAGAAAAGTCCGCACTACCATGACGTCCCATAGGATGCATCATCCGAGATCGTCGGTAATGAGGCTGTACTTGCCACGAAAGTATGGTGGGCGTGGCTTTCTGAGCGCGCTCACCATGCATAATCGCGAAGTGTGCAGTCTCCGTCAGTACTTCTTGGCGAGATCGGATGATCCATTCTATAATGACGTCATTTCTAGTGATAAAGGGCTTACCCCTCTATCCTTAGCCAACGAGCAATGGCAGGACCCAGCAGTGCTTAGCAATTCCGACCGGGAGACCGTATGGAAGGAGAAGGAGCTCCACGGGAGGTACTACAAGGCTCTACATGAGCCCTTCGTAGATACAGTTGCCTCCCTCAACTGGCTACGTTTCGGTGACCTCTTCGGGGAAACCGAGGGTTTTGTCTGTGCAATACAGGATCAGGTTATTAAGACCAACAACTATCGGAGATACATCCTAAAGGATGGCACCGTCGACGTCTGTCGAGCTTGTCGCCATCCCGGGGAGTCACTTAGGCATGTCATCTCCGGTTGTCCGGCGCTTTCTAACTCTGAGTACTTGCACAGGCACAAACTAGTAGCCAGAATTCTACACCAGGAGCTCGCTCTGAAATACGGTCTCGTGGACCGGAAATTGCCGTATTACAAGTACTTGCCGGAAGCCGTGCTCGAAAATGACCGCGCCAGGCTCTATTGGGACCGGGCCATCATCACAGACAGGACTATTCTTGCGAATAAGCCTGATATTGTGCTGATGGACCGGGCACAGTCAAGGATATTTTTGGTCGATATTACCATCCCGTATGACGAGAACCTCGTGAGAGCCGAAACAGATAAGCAATCAAAATATCTGGACCTGGCTCACGAGGTGACCGACATGTGGGGTGGTCTGCCGGCCGAAATTATTCCTGTAGTCGTCTCTGCGAATGGGCTAATCCCAGTTAGCCTCTCTGGTCATCTGAGGCGACTGGGAATCCGTGACGGACCGCTCCGGGCTCAAATGCAGAAGGCGGTGCTCCTTGATACTGCCCGCATCGTCCGCCGGTTTCTTTCCCTTTCTCCCTAACCCTCGGCCGTTTGGTCTCCCCTGCCGAGGGCTTCCATCTGGTTGGGCTTTTATTTATTTATGTATTTTTGTATTTATTTTATTTTATTGATATTTATGTATATTTATCCTTTCATTTTCGTTTATAATTATATATTTATACATCCCAACCAGATGAGAAAACTATATAGATACCCCACACATAATAATATAATTTAATTATATTTTTAATTAATTTAAGTTAAATACAAATACATAACGACTTTAATATTCTTACTTCTTGACGTTCAATCAAAATAACAAGGTCGTTTTAATTATTGTTCTATCCTGTATTTTATTGTAGGGATGCCACGCGGGTGGACCTATAATCGTATTCACTGTCCTTTAGGCTAGTTCAGTAAAACGGCTTTATTTAAAAAAAATGTTTAAAAAAATATTTAAAGTGTATATTTAGAATATATTTTTTTTTATACAGAATGGCGTCTCGGAGGGCACATAAAATACTAGAATTAGTATCATCGAGTTCTTCGTTATCTTTGCAAAGTTATGAAGTTAAACCAATAGCTGAAACTCATAACGCTACTGTAGAAGACCTAAACAATATACCAAGTGAGAACATAGAAAATCTCCCACCAAATAAAAATCTTACCGATCTACGATCTACTGATGGACAGGTACAATCTGACGATCATAAAAAGTTGGAAATATCGTTAGTTAGCAGCTGCGATGAAATATTATCAGAAAATGCAGACGATCATCTGCATTTTAGCCAAAAAATTGATTCCCGGTTGATTAGTTCTAGAAACATAGAAAATAAATCTTGTGACACTGATGAAAAGAGATTGCCAACAAGCCTTGTGCCAGACTATGACAGCGATGATTACAATAACTTGGAATGCATTGGAGTTCAACAAGACATAACAAAAAAAACACAACCGCAATCATCCTCGAGTTCAACAAGTACAAGTTCATCATCATCTAGTTAGTAGTAGTCTTCTTCTGGAACTTCCTCAGATTCAGATGATTCTTCATCTTCGAAAACAGAAGAAGAACCTGAAAACCGCAACACAGTAGCAGTTATGGCCAGTGAATGTTGCGACTCAGACAACATTCAGTTGAGACCTCAGAGATGTCCCTCTTCTAATAAATCTATTAATATTGTTACGCGCTCAAGTCGACGATACACTAGCGCCATCTAGTGTCAGGAACGAGAGCGAGGGGAGCATTGAGAAAATGACATCACAAATCACTCAACCGACAGCGCCTAGTCGAAACTCGAACGCTCGGTACCTTGCGCGTATTTACTTGAACATTCTGGATATTTCTTTGCTAATTTAAATAAGTAGGCGCTGCAAGATGCGATCGGAGCAGTGTTGATTTGGCGAGACAAGCGAAGCTTCGGAGCGGAATTAAGTGAATTAGTGTGTTTAAATTATTAGTGTTTTAAGTTTTAATTTTTGTAAAGTAAATTAAAGTGTTAATTTAGGTAATTTTATCGGCAATTTTTATTGTCACGAACCTCAAGCTCGTAACAATTGGTGTCAGAAGTGGGATAAAATCATGCCGATTTTACCTAAGGAGGAAACCGAGGGTGTCCGTACCCGAAGTCAACGCCAGCAGGAGACGGACCAACGAAGATTTGGTGGTGCAACGCCGCAGACGTCGGAGGGCCAGCCACCGGCTGAAGGCCCGTCGGTAGCTCCTACATCTGCAGCACCTGACTTAGGTGCTCTGATGGTGATGCTGCAGGAGCAGGCTCGCCGACAGGAGGAACAGGCTCGCCGACAGGAGGAACAGGCTCGCCGACAGGAGGAACAGGCTCGCCGACAGGAGGAACAGGCTCGCCGACAGGAGGAACAGGTCCGTCAGTTGAAAGAGCAGCTGCAGAGCGGACAAGAGGAGCAGGCCCGCCGGTCGGAAGAGCAGATGCTCCTCATTAAGGACCTTCATGCTACCTTTGGGAAAGAGATAAAGGAGGTGAAGGATAAGGTTGCTCAACATGACAACCGCCTGTCGGAAGCTGAAACCCAAATCAAGGAAGCTAAAACCCAAATCGACCAAGTGAACAATCGGGTTGATTACGTGGTGGCTGACGTGAAGAAAACGCTGGACGACCTCAAACTGGGTGATGGAACTACAGCTCCCGTAGTAGCTACTACACCTTCGCTACGTGGGTTCAAAGTGCCACCGTTCGACGGGACTTCTTCCTGGTCAGCCTACAAAATCCAGTTCGAGGCTGTTATGAAGGCGAACGGCTGGAATAAAAGTCAGGCCATGACTGCTCTCACACTAGGCCTGCGCAACCAGGCCTTAACAGTTCTGGAAGCTCTCGGTGAGGAAGTGACTTATGAGCAACTCCTTGAGGCATTGGAGGCGAGATATGGCGACGCTCACCTGGAACACGTCTTTCGTGCGCAGCTTAAAGATCGTGTGCAGCGCATCAACGAAAACCTGCAGCAGTGGGCTCTAGAAGTGGAGAAGCTGGTGCGAAAAGCATACCGGTCTGTACCTGCGCTCATTGAAGGGAACCTGGTGCAGACATTCATCGACGGCATCCGCGACCTGGAAGTCAGAGCTGCTGTGAGGCTCGGGCACCACGAGACGCTTAAGGACGCCTTGGCCCATGCACTGGAAGTGGAAGCCGTGCGGCAGGATCATCGTTCCCATCGCGTCAGGGAGGTTGCAGCAGCTACAGTTCGCGACCGCAACAAAGGATACAGCCCAAGGTGCTATGGCTGTGGGGAAAAGGGCCATCTTCGATCCAGCTGCCCTAAACTAACCGTGGAAAGGAGAGTTGATCGATCTCGAGAGGGTAGTACAGCTAACGGCACTGCCTGGCGGCGACAGGATCATCGTTCACCTCACGCTAGGGAGGTTACAGCAGGTACGGTTCGCGACCACAATAAAAGATACAGCCCTAGGTGCTATGGCTGTGGGGAAAGGGGCCATCTTCGGTCCAGCTGCCCTGAGCACACCCTACGAAGGGAAGGTGAACGGTCTCAGAAAGGAAGTGCGGCTAACAGCACCGCCCAGCAGCAGCAGGAATACGACTTTACTATCAGACACTGCAGCGGGAAATCTCACGGCAACGCAGATGCATTGTCAAGAAGACCTTGTCCTGAAGATTGCAACCATTGTAGTAGGCAAGAGAGTAAGGAGGTAGTATCCGTGAGGATGCTCAGGACAGACCACCTCAGCAACGGGTGGAAGGACAACCTACGACATGCACAGCAGGAAGATCCGGACATCAAGCCGATTCTGGGATGGATGAAGGCCCGTGCTACCAAGCCTAAGTGGAGGGACGTCTCAGCGATGAGTTCAACCACGAAAAGCTATTGGGCCCAATGGGACAGCTTGCCGATTCAGGATGGATTCCTGTGCCGTAAATGGGACATTGGTCGAAGAGACAGCTGTCGTTTGCAAATGGTTGCCCTAAAGCTAAAGTGCCGCATGTTCTACAGTTGTGCCATAATGGTCGTTCAAGAGTCCATCTGGGAGTTAAACGAACTCTACTGAAGGTCCGAGAACAGTTTTACTGGGTCCATTATCGTGACGATGTCGAGGATTGGTGTCGTACATGTACAAGTTGTGCGGCCGTGCGGGGACCTCGGACACGTAGTAGAGGAGCACCGAAATTATACAATGTTGGTGCACCACGGGATAGGACAGCCCTTGACATTGCGGAGCCGTTACAGAAAGGCGCAAGAGGGACTCCTAAGATCGTCCATGTGAATCGCTTGGCGCGTTATTATGGGGCCGATAATGCTCGGGACGAGCATGTCTTAGGAGGGGGCAGTGTTACGCGCTCAAGTCGACGATACACTAGCGCCATCTAGTGTCAGGAACGAGAGCGAGGGGAGCATTGAGAAAATGACATCACAAATCACTCAACCGACAGCGCCTAGTCGAAACTCGAACGCAACCGCAATCATCCTCGAGTTCAACAAGTACAAGTTCATCATCATCTAGTTCTTCTTCTTCTGGAACTTCCTCAGATTCAGATGATTCTTCATCTTCGAAAACAGAAGAAGAACCTGAAAACCGCAACACAGTAGCAGTTATGGCCAGTGAATGTTGCGACTTAGACAACATTCAGTTGAGACCTCAGAGATGTCCCTCTTCTAATAAATCTATTAATATTGTTACGCGCTCAAGTCGACGATACACTAGCGCCATCTAGTGTCAGGAACGAGAGCGAGGGGAGCATTGAGAAAATGACATCACAAATCACTCAACCGACAGCGCCTAGTCGAAACTCGAACGCTCGGTACCTTGCGCGTGTTTACTTGAACATTCTGGATATTTCTTTGCTAATTTAAATAAGTAGGCGCTGCAAGATGCGATCGGAGCAGTGTTGATTTGGCGAGACAAGCGAAGCTTCGGAACGGAATTAAGTGAATTAGTGTGTTTAAATTATTAGTGTTTTAAGTTTTAATTTGTGTAAAGTAAATTAAAGTGTTAATTTAGGTAATTTTATCGGCAATTTTTATTGTCACGAACCTCAAGCTCGTAACAATATTTCACCAGTTTATACTGATGTAAGTGATAGTGTAGATTTGAGTGATGATTACCCTACTTTCAAATATGAGACAGAAAAAAATCATAAAAGGAACTCCAATTACCTTTTTCCTACTACTTCTATCAACAGTGACAGTGATACCAGTTCTTCGGATTTAAATGGTTCTACTCAAAAAAAGATCGCTAATAAAAGAGGCCGAAGGCGAACTAGAAATCCTGCGAAGTGGAAACAAAATAAAGCTAAAAAACTACGAAATACTGGTGAATCATATGTCATGGTGAATCAAGGTCACATAAAGTTGTTCCCAGTCGCTGTCTTAAAATTCCATGCACAGACAAGTGTAAATTAAAGTGTGTAGAAAATATATCAAATAATCAAAGATATGACATATTCAAAGAATTTTGGGACTTATGATGATGATGATGATTGATGTGGCCAAGCAAAGAAATTATATTAATGGTTGTATGGTTGATATTGTGCCAAAATATAAGTATACAAATGCTAAAAACCCAAGGCGTCCTAATAAAGCTTATTATTTTTGCGTTAATTCTAACAAAATAAGAGTATGTAAAACTTTTTTTAAAGCAACATTAGATATTTCTGATCGCATGATTTTTACAATAAAAAATAAGGTCATTGACGGTGGTTTCATGCTTGAAGATTTAAGAGGAAAACACAACAGCCACAAAACTCTTGATCCAAAACTAGTCGACGACATCAGGAAACATATTCAGTCTATTCCTAAAATCGAATCGCATTACCTCAGAGCTAGTACTTCTAAAGAATATATAGACGTAGGAAAAAAATATAAAAGATTTGTATAACGATTTTGTAGTACAGCAGAAAGAAAATAATAAGGAGATAGGAAATTATATAGCATATTACAAGATATTTACTACAGAATTTAATTTGTCCTTTTTCCAACCAAAAAAGGATCAATGTGATTTATGTTTAGCATATAATAATAGTTGCAAAGAGAAAGCAAAAGAACTAGAAGAGAAATATAATAAACATATAGAAGAAAAGACTTTAAGTAGAACTGAAAAGCAAGAAGACCGCATAAAAGTGACTAAAAATAATATAGTAGCAATTTACGATTTAGAGGCAGTACTCCAATGTCCTAGAGGTGACATCTCCTCATTCTACTATAAATCGAAACTTAACAGTTACAATCTTACCATAACTGAATTGACTGAATTAAATTCAAATACAGCATATGATAAAGTGCACTGCTATTTTTGGACGGAAGCAGAAGCTAAACGTGGAGCAAATGAGATAGGAAGCTGTGTATGGAAATACCTTGAATGATTATTCATTCAAGAAAGCACTGAAGAGAAAAGCATAACATTCTACTCAGACAATTGCTGTGGGCAAAATAAAAATAAGTATATAGCAACTTTGTACCTATATGCTGTGAAAACGTTAAATATAAGAAGCATAACACACAATTTTTTAATTCGTGGGCACACCCATAACGAAGCTGACAGCGTTCATTCTTTGATTGAAAAGGAAATAAAGAAAAATTTTAAATCAGGACCAATTTACACCCCAGATCAATATGTGACATTGATAAAAAATGCTAAGAAAAGTAAACCAGCCATAAACGTCCATGAACTAACTTTTGAAGCCTTCCTGGATCTAAAACTTTTGCAGGAGGAATGGGGTTATAATTATAATACAAATGTGGATGGAGTTTCAGTTAATTGGAACGATATAAAAGTATTGATGATGAAAAAGGAGAAACCGTTTAGTATTTTTTACAAAAACTCTTATAAAGATGATTGCTTCCAAGAAATTGATGTAAGAAATAAAAGAAAAAAGATGAAGAATATCCAAGAAATTACTCTTCAAAAAGCTTACGACCAAAGACAAGATATAAGTGCAAACGAAAAAAGGACTTGGCAGAGCTTATTAATAAAGGATTAATTCCTCCTTTCTATGCCAACTTCTATAATCCAATAATTAATTGAACTTAATGGATCTCCTTTCTGTGTTTCTAATTACTTGTTTTTTTTTCTTCAGTTTTTATAAGTTTAATTTTTAGATTTTGTTAAAAAATAATTACCTTTTTGTACCAAGTTTAAAAGGAAGGTAATAGAGAACCTGATATGTTAATACGTTTTTGTTGTTTTTTTTTAAATGGGTGTAAACTATTAAACCCTTTATAAAAGTTATTTTTTAAGTAAACATTTTCTGACTTTGATTAAGATTGATTCCAAGGTTATTTTAGTTACTTAACAATTATAAGACTGATTTGAGAGTGTCAAGATTAAGAATAAGTTAATCGTTTTTTATTCATTTGTTTTGAAGTTTTAATTATTTTTGGAGGTTTATTTTTAAATAAATAAAAGGATAATAAATTATGTTTAAGCTTTTTTATTTTTAAAACATTTACAACAATTTTCTCGATATTTTAAATAAAAAGGAAATAGTTGGTATTCCTACAATAATAATCCAACTTCATTAATAAAACAATGTAATATAATCAAATAAGCCCAAATGATTTATTTATTTTTTAGAGATAAACAGGATTATTATGTATTATGATGAACTTGTTCTAAGAATCACATAATTTCCTTTAATCATAAAGTGCATTAAGTCGGAACTTTTTTTCTATCAACTATTTATAGGTCGATCATCAGAAATTGTTATTTTTCGCATATGCCAGCAAATCTTAAATTTTCAATAAAATCAATTCGAATACATAAAATACTTAAAATTTTTTTACAGATCATCAAACTTCGACCTGCGTAAGTGCAAAACTTTAAACAGCCGTAGCCAAAAACATGATTTTTGAGTTATTTCTATGTTTGATTAAACGTGCGATATAATGATGTATATTATTTGTATCAAGTAAAATTACAGCTTGTACAGTAAAGTTTCTTTGCACTATGTATATTTAAAATGTTTATTCGAGAGTTCAAACACAAAGAAGCAGAATATGACCTGCCTTATTATCGCTTAAATTTTTTCTAGCTTTTTTTAAATAATCGTATAATGCATGTAATTGTTTTTCAGTTCTGATTCCCATTTTGAAGAGAGCATTATATTTATTCGTCAGCGCCATCCAAACTTGCTTCTTGGGCTTTACAGTTGTACTGTCCGTCCGTTTTATTATCAATTGTAGCCACAAATTCTTTAGCTAATTCAATAAGAAGCATCTTCTCTCTTTCCGTAAAATTTTTACTGCGTTTACCAGACTCCATGTATATTTAAAAAGGATAAAAACCACTAAACTTATAATCCAAAAGAGAAAAATTAAACCAAATTAAACCACAGGAAAACTAAAAGCAATGAATTTAATGTTTTCTTTTTTAATAATTTGACAATACAATGATGTTCATACAGTCTCTGATAAACCTTTGCTACAACAGTGCATATCCATTCATTAGCCTCAAAAAATAATACTTTACAAATAATACTAGTATGAATGAAGAACTGAAATAAAAATAAACATGCGTGCAGCTTACACGCGGCAGAAGTGAAACCTTCAAATGAAATGAAATATAAAATACAAATACTTTACGGCAAATGATTTATTTAATATTATAATTTTAACTACAAGTTCGGCATAAAATATAAGAAAATTTAATTTTATAGTAATTAATAATTAATAAGCACAGTGTTGCACTTTTAATAACGAAACAAGGGCCTGCACTTACTTTATAGACTTCACACTTTTGGAAACCTTGTCTCATACATTTATTATAAATTGGTTGAAAGCATAACAGGATAAAAACTACTCTGTGTTTGGTTCATCAATGTTAGATCCAAATTCAGTGGCGAAGCTAGGGCTCCAAACTAGGGCAAGTCCAAGATATGGTTTTGTTGTTTTTAGCAGTTTAATAAAAATACACCAATCTTGAGCTATCTCCACTCTTTAGTTTCATATTCAGTGCTGTCAAGGACGTGTTTAACAAAGCACACAGAAAGTATACTACCGCTAGATAGATTGTATAACATATGCAATTGCACACCTTTGGTGGTTTTGAAAAGAACCGTTTGGGTCTGCTTGAGATATTTACAAACAATACAATACATGAACAAAAGAAAAGGATGAACAAAGTACAAACAAACTATCTGTTTTGTTTACTTGACTTCACGTAACCTTCTCACTGCTGACCTACAAGATGAAGCTGCTGTGGTAGAGAACACCCAGGCACCTCCAGCCACTGTCCTCTTGCAACGTTTGCAGGACCAGATACCAACACAAGAGCGTTTCAAGGCATTCTTTCCACAGAAAGAGCAAGTGTGAGCAAGAGCTTGTATTTAGCATGCTGTGTCACTTCCATTTTTTTGACCATTTTACGCAACGAAGTACCATATCGTGTTCCATATTTTCCGGTAATTCCAACCTTTTTCGTGCGTTTGGCCATTGTAAAATAAACTATGTACAAAGTTAAAAAAGGGACGCCTGGCAGATGTGAAACCTCGAAATTATTTTGTTTAAGTTATATGCATAAAAGAACAGATTACGACAGGAATTAGTTATAATGAGAAGATAAAGCTTTGCTAATTTTTTACCATAAAATAATGACTATTTATTATATAATTATTCATTTTCAATTTATAATAAACCGTACAAAATGATATTTTTAAACTCATATGGTAATATAAATATTAAATTAGCCGATAGCGTATTTGTGCCATCTAGCGTAATCTTTAGGTACCACCGTGAGAATCAACCAATTTTCGTTCGATAAAATGACTACCTATAGAATCAAGTAGATAGCGCTATTAAAATTTTATATACTGAAAATAACTAAAGTGAGTATTCTTTAAAAACCTCAATACATTCTTCCGTATTCTTTTGATTTATTACATTAAGATTTGGGCTTCACGTTAGAAAAAGATTGTAACACTTATTTCCTATAAGATTAAACCTAGGTGTCTCATATTTTATGCTGCCGTTCAAAATGATATTTTTAATTCATATGGTAATATAAATATTGAGTTATCCTCTCAACTGCAGATGTAACCCTTGGACACGAAAATATCTCCGTTGACTGCGGGTGTCCAAGTACTGGACATTTTTACCCGCTCTTTTAATGTCGAAATAAAGCATTACGCACTATGTCTAACTCATTCTACCATATGTCGATGTGTACAGGATAAAAAAGGTTACCATAAAAACCCCACAGCTTATACACTTTAGTAGGATTTTTTATATATACCATCCGATAAATTATTCGGCCGTGCCTTGAGTCAGCCATTAGTGTGACTGACGCGCGCTAACAACAAAGTTGTTAGCAATTATTTTGTACTAATTTATATTAATTGTGTGGTGAATAGTGTTAAAACAATGCCTGGGTAAGCAATCTCTTTATTTGTAATCTCATTTTCTGTTTTATCTCATTAGGCACGTGTAAAATTGTTTTTTAATTTGTGTGAAGCAAACCGCTATCTTAAAACTAACATTCTGGTTGCGGAATTTTGACTTGAAATGTACGTAAAATTTTAGTGTTGACTGTCAGTTTTGTGTCAAAGTATGTGTAATTGTTAATCATTTACAGTTTTAGTAAATAAAAATGAGGATAAAGTGCAATATTTTCAAAATTTCAATGTAAATACGCAATAGGTGCAATAGTGTCCATCTATGAGACACCCGCAGTAGTGAATTCTAGTTCTTTGTTTTGCGGGTGGCGAAAAAAGGAACTAAATATTGCCATATTGCATCACGTTCAAATTCGGTTGAATTGTTAGAATAATAAAGAATCTAGCGCCCTCGAGCTGATAAACGGAGCTTGGTTGTCCAATCTCATTCGATGATTTATGCAAAAATTAGATGTGGCATTTGGATATGCCATGTATGTTAACACAAGACTTCGGAATTTTTTAAACAATTTATTAAAACAGAAAAGTAGAAAGTATTTACATATGCTTTTTAATATTTTTATTTTAATATTTAATATTTGAAATTTTTATTTTTTTATTCTAATATAAACAGGTTGTGGTTTTTAAGGTCACCTCAGACACATGTTTCTTATATCGGTTTCTTTAATGTACATTTTATCTGTATGCACTTTGCAAAATTCATAAAGCAAAAAGAGTTAAAAAAATAATTCTTTTTGATTTACTTTTTACGTACGTTTCAGTTTTGCAAATCGTGTAACGTTGCGTTATGTTTCAACCTAGAGCAAGATTGCTGATACCTACAGTATCATTCGTAAATAATTAGTACTGTAGATACAGTAAATCGAACAAGTACCAATATTTATACTTACGTACATCCATCCATTTAGTTTTTATTGTTGCCTCGCTATAATTTGTTCAGCTGATTATTTCAGACTATCATCGTTGAAATAGTTAAGTTAGTTAAGTTACAGCCTATTTACGTCCCACTGCTGGGCCTTACCTTACTTCTGGGAGGGTTTTAGGGCAAAGAAGTGTTCGCCGCGATGCCTCTATGCGTGTTGGCGAACTTCACATGTCTTCGAAATATTTTTTTCTTATTTCTCAGACAGTCACGATATTTTCCTTCACCGCCGAGCACGTGGTAGATCAGCACTTAAAATTGCAATTAACAATTTCATTGACGCCAGCGGGGATCGAACCCGGTTTGCTAGCGTACTGTGAAATTTAACGCGAGAGCTAACCATCTGAGCTACCGGGGTTCCTCTGAGCCACCACGGTTCTCATCGTTGAATTAAATACACCTTTTTATTTTGTATGTTTTCTATAGAATAGGGTTACAAACGAGCACACAGTCCATCTGATTGTAAGTAGTTGCTGCGGCCCGTAGATATCTACATCTATCCTAGATTAAAAATGAAAATGCAAATGCGTTGTCACCCGTGAGGACTAAAATGGAATGCCTCGTTTCCAGTAAAAACCGTCTCCGGTTCTCTACACTCACCATACGAAACACAGCCTGCATTAAGCTAATATTTCACGCTGGTATTCCGTGAAAGCGTGGTCCTTCCCCGGTCGAGCCGACCCATTCGTGCAACAACTATACTACTAATATAACTGCAGCATGGCTCTACCACATATAAAAATGTTTTAATGAACTAGTACATAATGCACAAAAAGTGCAAGATCGGACTTTAATTTTGGCATGTTTTTGGAGCATAAGAAGTGCGTTCTTTAAAAATATATATCCATAATATTTTTTTATTTCAGGAAGAGATATGTTTATTTTAAATGTTATAATTTCCATTATTTGTGTTAAAGGAAATATATTACCTTTTTGAGAAATAATGTTGCTAAAATTATATTGGTTATTGGAAATGTAATATAACCGCCGCGCACCCTGCGGCGCCTCCCTGCGAACGGCTTTGTCACTCGACACTATTATGGTGCATTGAGTATTGTTTACAAAAAACGTTATTTTAGACTTTACATCTGCGGGAGTGACCCTTGAGTGGTTTTTGGCTTTTAAGGGAATGAATGAATCTTTATTTCTCTACAAGTGCTGTTGAAAATTGTTTGCTCAATTAATTTTTCAATAAATATGACACTTACGGCTAAAATTTTGATATCGGCACTAAGAATACTTATTTCATAACTTTAAGAGATTTGTAAAACTTAGCAAGATCTATTTAAAGATGACTGAATCATGTAAGGAAAAAGAGAGGTTCAACTAGTCCTGGAAATACAACCACATGTTTCTTCATGAATTTAAGTATATATTTTTAATGAAATTAAAAAAAACTAGTGTTAATTTTATTGACTAATGCATTAATGCCGCATCTGGTCCGAACTACATTCTACATCGGTGTAAGTTGATTGTTGGTTCTTGTAAGCTTACTATTAATGCGTTTTATGATAAAAAAATGTATTGTAGCCTATGATTTTGCGCATAAAATATTGTAAACAATAGATTTAAAATTAAATGAAAATAAAATCGAAGTATTAAAAAACTTTGTTTCATCGAGAAATATGACAATTTTGTCTTTATTCAATATTTACTTACACTTATTACTTTGGGACTTTATTTAATTTATGTACTCGTTTATAGGAAATTTCATAGAGAATTCAGTAATGTATACATATTATAGTATTTGATATACCAAAATCAAGAAATTTGCGTTTAAACGGATTGCGCCCAATGCGCCGTCAATTTTATTAAACAGCTCCACAGTCAACGGAGTATGACAGTTAGAGTCTCCACAGCTGAAAGGTTATTAATTAAACCTTTAAATACGCCTAACTTAATTAAACTTCAATACTAAAGAGTCCTGTACCTATATTTAAAGTATGAAGAAATGTTTACTGAAAATTAAATTTCATTTTTAAAGATTTTACTTCTCCTCGCCGATTAGCACTTCAACACACTTATATTTATCACAATGAACACTATTATCCTCCCATTTTCACTGAAAATCTTTGAAAAAGCATAAATTTTTAACAAACACAACAAAAACAAACATAAACATTGAAATGTGAAGTGAACTTGCAAACGAATGGCCCGCACCCCATCCGCTAGTCGCTAACGCACTCCTAAACAACTTCAGGGCAAAGCCAGGCTTGTGGCTCAATAGTAATAGCTATATAAATATTTCGTAGTTATGTTTCATTACAGAACATTTTGCCACAGGTCAGAAAGGGAGCGATCGCCTTCTCGAAAGCCTAGTAAAAAGCCCACGCGTGCGAGGGAGAAAACCAATCGCTCAATTCAACTCTCCTTATATGTACGACAGCAGTATTCGTAAGGCTACGAGGTCGAACAGAGTGCGCGGGAAATTTGAAATAGTTTGAAACAGTTTACGAGTCATTTTATTACTTGATATAATTGATTGATTCATTTTAATGAGGCAAACCGGGCTTCTATAGAGGCTTCGCCACTGTCCAGATTAAGGTTTTCTGAATAATCATCATTATCTTAATTGCAGCCTATCAAAGCTCACTGCTGAAAATGGGCCACCCTATGTAATATATCTGAATAATCCAAATACCAAAATACAAACATCTTCAAAATCAAACAGTTTCATATTTATATAATTATAGTCAACCAAATCTAAGAAATACCTTTTGACATTTCACATTAATCATTCCGCAATAACTTTGCACAAGCATACTCACAGTATTTAAAATAACCTTTTACGTTAATCCGAAGAATTATTAAAGTTATCTATATTTCATTACAACTTGTGTAGTTTTTTATCATTAGTATAATTCTTACCTTTAAAACAAAGCAAAATCTTTTAAAAAATAACGAGTATCAGCTTTTCTACCAGACGTCGTTTCAATGATCTGTCGCTATGTAACTTACCATAGTGTTTGGATGATTAAAATTCATTGTTATGCGAATAATCGGTAAAAATTTTCAAATAATCGGTAAAAATATTCAAATAATCGAATCATTAAGTTTTTAAAGTATTATTTGTGTAGTTATTTTTTATTTTCAAAATTCTTTAAATTACATGAATCATGAATAACACAAGTTTATTTTTTTTTTACTTTGTCAATGTTAATTTCTGCAGGCAAAAAACCCATATACATGGCCGCGCTGAAAAAACCACTACGTAATTTCAATCGCCCGCCATTTCGGGAGCTTACTGTGCGTAATTTTGTGATTTTGTGTTTGTCTTCTTATTTTGTGACTCGGTTTTAACTTTTCGAACTGTTTCTTCTACATTGGTTGAAGCATGTACCCATGTCACAAAGGATGATTGGGCAAGTGGTTAAAAAAAAACGAAAATATTGATTATGGATGACTTTGAAAAAGACGTTAATTTTGACTGCATTATCGACAATCAAATAATAATTGATTTAAACAACGACAGCTCAACTAGTTGTACTGTAAGTGATTGAATAAATTTATTTTTTATTTAGTTTCAATCTTAAATTTTTATAACTGTGCCTCTATAAATGAGCAGTAACTGCAAATACGAAGAAACTGATAAATCTTGGGTTTTAAATCCGTTTTTAATTTATTCTGGTATTATTAAAACCAAACTGTAAATGATTACCAACTCTAAATAATCAATATCGATTTTTTTAAGAATCGAATACTGTACGTTCGCAATTTTTGGTTGGCATGCTTGGTGCAATAAATCTGACAGCTGTCAAAATGTATTTCTTAGATTTGGTTGACTATAGAAGAATTCACTGATAAAGTAATCTATATTTACTTTTACTTACATCACATGGGACTGCAGTCCTAAGCAGCTTTTTCTTGGAAGCATCCGTGAAATCACCATCATTAAAATGTTTTTCACAAAACATTCTGTGCTCATTATGTAGCTTTTTTTGGAAAGCTAAAGAAGCGTACTGCTCTTCGGCAGGAAACAAATATTTCGCCCACAGTATACAGCTGAAACAAAAATATTACTATTAAATACGAATATTATCAAAGTAGTTCTAATGGTTTACTAACCCTTCACTTGATGAGCCGTCACATTATGACTGCATGTTGCAAGGGGACGTTTGATGACCTGTCATATTACGTCTGTTTTTTTTACACTAAAATACTTTATTGTGGTCTATGCCTTGGTAGTTTTGTAGAAATTTATATGAATATGGATAATGTTCAAACAATAAAGAAACAGATTTAATTTTTAACTTTGTAGTGTTTTTAAAGCGACAATGGAAAGATGTTAATTTTAGTGAAAACATGTTATCTTGAAAAGAAAAACTTTGGTTGAAGTAAACATTAAATTTCTACATTCTAAAACCATTAGAGACACTTTTTGACTCCATCTACCCTTAATTTACTATTAAAAAAAGTTTCAGTGCAAATAATCAGCAAATTCACGAGTGGCCAAGTTTCCGTGCCGGTAAGTGTATGTTGGCCATGTCAAAATATAGAGAATAAAATTTATAAACGAGAATTTTAATTAATAAATAAAAATACATGCGTACAGCTCACACGCGACGGAAGTGAAACCTTCAAATGAAACTAAATATAAAATACAAATACTTTAAATGATTTGATTAAAACTACTTTTACGGATTTTATCGCGTTTATTTTTACTTTTTATTTTAATTCCCGACGTTTCGGGCGCTTTCCAGCACCCATGGTCACGGGGGACTGAGATGACTGACGTCCCGATGTCATTGTTAAACCCGGAGAACCTTCAGCTTTTTTAATTATTGTTTATGGTCCGATCTATGCAAAATGAACTGACTATGTCCTGAGGTCTTGCAGTGGTATGCTTGGGTTTAGTTTTAATTTTATTGATTATAGGATCCCAAGCAGGTGGTAGTACCCAGCCTCCTTCTCTATTGAAATTAGGATGTTTTTTAATTTCAATAGCCTCACGTATCATCCTTGGTAGGAATCGGTGTTCTTTCGCGAGGATTTGTGGTCTATCAAATCTGATGTAATGGTTGGGGCCGTCTAGGATATGATCACAAACTGCAGATTTTGCAGTTTGTGATATATATATATATATATATATATATATATATATATATATATATATTAGACACAGATATTATATTAATCTCATTGATATACCTTATATGGTACTCACTAATTGCAAAAACATTTATATCAATTTTACCTATTACAAAGTTGAGGTTTGGCCGTTTTTCACTGTTTGTTTAATCCAGCACACGACAGCTTCATACCATGTTAAACAAAACGCGTAAGCGACGCCGCTTCGGCAGCTTTTGCGACTTTTTTCTCGCGAGCATTGAGCTGTAATCTATAATGCTTCTTATCTCATTTTCTCCCACATTAAATCTTATGAATTTATGTGTCTGTCTCTTTTTCGTTTCATAGACTTTCAAATTACAACGATGCTAAAGAAGTTTTCACTTCAAAACCAAAAAATTACAAATCTTGAAGATTCAACATCAATATGAAATTATTAAATTACAAAAACAAAAAATGTTCCTGGATTTTGATATAGTCTTAAATAAAATATTTTACAAAATGCAAAAATGGACTTAGGATTTTAAATAAGAACTTTAACTTATTATATGTTGGCCATTATAAATTAAAATTCCTCTTTTTTAATTCCAAGTCCATTTTTGAATTTTCTAAAAGATTCCTCTTTAACTCAATATCAAGATCTAGTAAAATTTTTGTTTTTTCTAATTTCATACGTTCATGTTGAAGTTGAATCTCCAATATTTCTAATTTTTTAGTTGTGATAGCATCTTCATTTATTTGCTTCTCGTTTTTTCCTTTTATTATTGAAGCACTGATATTATTTATATATTTCTTTTTTGGTTCAGTTACACAAATCTTTTTTCTTGGTGTACTATCTGATAACAGAATAGGGGAAATTCTTCTTTTACAAACTTCCACCGGTTGAGGTTGATCCACAGAATCTTCTTTTGCACCCAATACTTCTTGAGAAGAATCTTGCGTATTGTTTAACTCCTGTGTTTCAACAATATCTGTAACGAATAAATTGCAAAAATCAGTCACTATTGTGTAATGTGTAATTTTAGCTGATGATTGCACACACAAGTCTGTATTAAGAAATTTGTGCATGGGTACTTAAACCACATTAAATAAATGATTATTTAATTATATTTTGTTTCATTATCTTTATTATGTTTCACATGAAATTATTTCTGAGTTTGATTAGATTTTAACTATATTTTCACTGCAATTTACATTGCTACTTTTAATTCCTTAGTTTATGTATAGCCTTATGCTGAAACAGTGGATATAAGAAGAATTTAACCAAAACATCAGTTAAGAGTATGCTCAAAAAACGCTAAATTCTAATGTAATATGTTAGAAAAACACTGAACTTACATACCTATGGTGTAATATGGTGCTGATGAGTCAAAATCATTAGGTAATGGTTCAAGTTGTGGAGTCAACAAGGCCACTACTTTTTCCTCAACTACAGTTGTCTTAGGGGAAAATGTTTCTTTTCCTGTCTTGTACAGCTCAGGCTGAAATTAAAATTTAACATGCTACATTACATACTTTTTTATTTATTTATCTTAACAATAAATGACAGTATAAACAACACAGGTAGCTGCGGGTCCTAAACTAAGCGCAGCCGGTATCTCAGGACCCTGGCATGCAATACAAAATGGTTTGTCACTGGACCTCATTTACATCGAGATAGTGTTAATATTACGTGCTTGTCATCGGCCTTTAAAAGTAATGCTTCTAATACAAAAACTAAGGAAGTATTGTTTTATTACATAAATAAATTTAAAGTAGCGACTGCAAGAGATGATTACACAATAGTTAGAATAGGAATGATAACATCTGGATCTGGTTTGTGTGGTTGTTGTGGTGTGTGTGTGTGTGTGTGTGTGTGTGTGTGTGTGTGTGTGTGTGTGTGGCTGTGTGTGTGTGTGTCTGTGTGTGTGTGTGTGTGTGTATGTGTGTGTGTGTGTATGTGTGTGTGTATCTGATGTGCCATTTAATTAGCTCTTCAGTGTCGTTATATGTAAGAGTGTACAGCATGTTCTTTTATAGGGTTTTACACGAGGAAAGTGGCCGGTCTTTAAGGTCAATTATTTTTAATATTTTGTTGTAGATGAATGGATGTGAGAAGGTGGGGCAATGTTTAGCCAGGCTTGACTTTACGATTGGAACGGGGATTCTAAAAGCGCGTTTCCTTCTTAATTCATTGTAGTCTGGACGACATCTTATAGTTTTGTGCACTTTGAGTGTGGCATTGTAAATAAACAGCTGTCGCACCTGTAGTACTTTAAATTCTTTATATAGAGAATCGGTGGGGTAAGTGAATGGCTTACTAAGGATTACTTTAATTAGTGCATGTTGAGCCCTTTCCAATGTCATTAGTGCAGTCCTCCCAGCACGGCCCCAAACACAAATGCAATACTGCAGTATAGATTGGCAGAGTGCAAAGTATACCTGACGTATTATATCTATGAGAGTGCAAACTCGTAATTTTTTCATAATGTAAATGAACTTTCGCACACGGGAAGACAAATTAGAAATTTGAGCATCAAACGTTAGGTTTTCATCTATGATAATTCCAATATATTTGGTTATTCTAGAGCGCGCTATCGGTTCACAGTTGCAGCCATCCAGATTGGCATAATCATTTTTGCAGTAATGAATTGTCAAGGGCATAGCGATCAGTGGACTTGTTCATCTCAATTAATAAAACTATATGTATGTAGTCTTTTTCTGATTTAGTGTAAGGAGATTTAAGTTTAAGGACATGGCAATACCAGATAGGCCTTGTTCCGCAGTACTGTATACTCGACTCCATGTCGTATCGTGAAATAATATGGTTGTATCACCGGCGTAAGCAATTACATTTGAATTAGGCAAGTTTTGTTCCAGGATATCGTTCATGTACAGGATGAAGAGAGTGGGTAAAAGGGTACTGCCTTGTGGAACGCCAAAATGAACATCCAGTTGCCTACTGGTATAATTTCCTACTTTTACACATTGTTTTCGCATTTTTAGGTAAGTTTCAAACCATTGAAGTTTATTTCCCCTTACTCCAGTGGCTTCTAGTTTTTTCAAGAGGATGCGAACAAAGACTGTGTCAAAAGCTCGCGACAGGTCGAGAAAAACACCTATGCAACATTGACCATTCTCCACGTGTTGTGGGGTATCTGGTCAGCTAGTAGCAGCACAAGCTGACCAGATATCACAGCATCCTCGGTCAATTTTCCCTGACGAAAACCATATTGCTTATCTGAGATTATCCGATTTTTATGTAGAACTTGTCTGATACTATTGCGTAACTTTATATGAGAATCAATTATTAATGTGAACACTCCAAGGCAATAACTGTGCCTATGAAGTAAGCTATATAATAATATATAATATTTGTACCAAATAATATTACAGCTTGTACAGTAAAGTTCCTTCGCACAATGTATATTTAAAATGTTTATTCGAGAGTTCAAACACAAAGAAGCAGGATAACCTCTCAACTGCCGATGTCCAAGACTTGGACACGAAAATATCTCCGTTGACTGCGGGCGCCCAAGTGTTAGACATTTTTTACCCGCTCTTGAAGAAACAAAGCATTATGCGCTATTTCTAACTCATTCTACCATATGTCAGTGTGTACAGGATAAAAAAGGCTAGCATAAAAACCCCACAGCGTATACACTTTAGTAGTATATTTTATTTAAATCATTTTTAAATTTCGTCCGTTCCTTGAGTCAGCCATTAATGTGATTGACGCGTGCTAACAACGAAGTTGTTTGTAATTATTTTGTATTCATTTATATTTATTGTGTGGTGAATTGTGTTAAAACAATGCCTGGGTAAGTAACCTTCTTATTTGTAATCTTATTTTGTGTTTTATCTTATTAAGTACGCGAAAAATCGTTTTTTAATATGTATGAAGCAAACTGCTATCTTAGAACTAACATGCTGGTTGAGGAAAGTTGACTTGAAATGTACGTAAAATTTTAGTGTTGACTGTCAGTTTTGTGTTAAAATGTGTGTAATTGTTCATCGTTCACAGTTTTAGTACATCAAAATGAGGATAAAGTGCAATATTTTCAAAATTTTAATGTAAATACGCAATAGGTGCAATAGTGTCAATTTTTGAGACGTCCGCAGTAGTGAATTCTAGTTCTCTATTTTGCGGGTGGCGAAAAAAGGAACTAAAGTTTGCCATATTGCATCAAGTTCAAATTCGGTTGAATGGCTAGAATGGTAAAGAATCTAGCGCCCTCGAGCAGAGAAATGGAGCTTGGTTGACTCCACGATTATTCGATGATTTATGAAAAATTGAATGTGGCATTTGGAATATGTCATGTATGTTAACACAAGACTTCGGAATTTTTTAAACATAATTTATTAAATCAGAAAATTAGAAAGTATTTACATAATATGCTATTTTAAAATATTTTTAATTTTAATATTATTTTAATATTTTTTAATATTTAATATTTGAAATTTTCATTTTTTAATTTAATATGAACAGGTTGTGGTTTTTAAGGTCACCTCAGACACATATTTCACATATTGTTTTTTTTAATGTACATTTTATCTGTATGTACTTTGCAAATCGTGTAACGTTGCGTTATGTTTCAACCTAGAGCAAGATTACTGCTACCTACAGTACCATTCGTAAATGAATTGTACTGTAGATACAGTAAATCCAACAAGTACCAGGAGCCTTTTAAAGAAATGAGTACCTATTTTATATATTTATTCAATTTTATACTCATGTCCATTCATCCATTTAGTTTTTATTGTTGCCAAGCTAAGTCTGTAGTTAGTTAAGTTACACAGCCTATTTCCGTCCCACTGCTGGGCCTTCCCTCACTTCTGAAAGGTTTTTGGGGCAAAGAAGTGTCCGCCGCGCTGCCCATATGCGTGTTGGCGAACTGCACATGCCTTGGAAATATTTTTTTTTATTTCTCAGACAGTCAGATTTCCTCATGATGCTTTCCTTCACCGCCGAGCAAGAGGTAAATCAGCACTTAAAATTGCAATTAATAATTTCATTGATGCCGGCGGAGATCGAACCCGGTGTGCTAGCGTACTGTAATATTTAAAGCGAGAGCTAACAATCTGAGCTACCAGGGCTCTCTCATCGTCGAAATGAATACTTAAGTTAGTTAAGTTACAGCCTTTTTACGCCCCACAGCTGGACAAAGGCATCCCCTTATTTCTCAGAGGGTTTTAGGGCAAAGAAGTTTCCGTCGCGCTGCCCCAATGCGTGTTGGCGAACATGTCATCGAAATATTTTTTTTCTTATTTCACAGACGTGCAGGTTTCCTCACAATGTCTTTCTTCACCGCCGAGCACGTGGTAGATCAGCACTTAAAATTGCAATTAACAATTTCATTATTGCTAGCGGGGATCAGATTGCTAACCCGGCTCGCTAGCGTACTGTGAAAGATACCACGGCTCTCATCGTTGAAATGAATACACCTCTTTATTTTGTTTTTTTTTTCTATAGGATAGGGTGACAAACGAGCACGCAGTCCACCTGTGGTGGTTGCTGCGACCCATAGATATCTACATCTATCCTCGATTACAAATCAAAATGCAGATGCGTGTCAACCGTGAGGACTAAGATGGAACGCCTCGTTTCCAGTAAAAAGGCTCTCCGGTTCTCTACACTCACCATACGAAACACAGAAGCATTAAGCCATTATTTCATGCTGGTATTCGGTGAGAGCGTGATCCTTCCCTGGTCGAGCCGGCCTATTCATGCTACAACTATACTACTAATATAACTGCAGCATGGTACGGTATACCACATATAAAAAATGTTTTAATGATCTAGTACATGATGCACAAAAAAGTGCAGAATCGGACTTTAATTGTGGCATATTTTTGTATAATGCATAAGAAGTGGGTTCTTTAAAAATATACATAAATAATTTTTTTTTTTATTTCAAGAAGAGATATATTTATTTTAAATTTTATTATTTAGTAGCTATTATTTGTGTTAAAGAAAATATGTTACCTTTTGGAGAAATAATGTTGTTGGTTATTGGAAATGTAACATAACCGCTGCGCACCTCGCGGCGCCTCTGTGACTCGACACATATTATGGTGCATTGGGTATTGTTTACAAAAAAACGTTATTTATAACTAGACATCAACGGGAGTGACCCTTGAGTGGTTTTATGGTTTTTAAACAAATGAATAAAGATTAATTTCTGTACAAGTGCTGTTAAAGTTTGTTTGCTCAAATAAAGTAAATAATTTTTCAATAAATATGTCACGACTAAAATTTTGATATCGGCATTAAGAGTACTTATGAAATACTTTATGAGATTTCTAAAACTTAGCAAGACCTATTGAAAGATGACTGAATCATGTCATCGTGAAGAAAAAGAGAGGTTCAAGACTGAATCATTATAATGAAATAAAAAAAAAAACTATTTTTATTGACTAAAGCATTACGCCGCATTATGCCGCATCTGGTCCGAACTACATTCTACATCGGTGTAAGTTGATTGTGGGTTCTTGTAAGCTTATTATTAATGCGTTTTATGATAAAAAATTGTATCGTATCCTATGATTTTACACATAAAATATTGTAAACAATAGATGTAAGATTAAAATAAAATAAAATTGAACTATTAAAAAACTTCGTGTCATTGAGAAATATGATAGTTTTGACTTTATTCAATATTTAGTTATACTAATTACTTTAAAACTTAATTAAATATATGTACTCGTTTATAGGAAATTTCATAGAGAATTCAGAAATGTATACATATTATAGTATTCGATATACCAAAATCAAGATATTTGCGTTTAAACGGATTGGTCCCAATCATCCGTCCATTTTATTAAACAGCTCCGCAGTCAACGGAGTATTACGGTTAGAGTCTCCGCAGCTGAAAGGATATGACTTGCCTTATTATTGCTTAAATTTTTTCTAGATTTTTTTAAAATTATCGTATAATGCATGTAATTGTTTTTCAATTCTGATTCCCATTTCGAAGAGAGCATTATATTTATTCGTCAGCGCCAAGCTTGCTTCTTGGCCTTTACAGTTGTACTGTCCGTCTTTTTATTATCAATTGTAGCCACAAATTCTTTAGTTACTTCAATAAGAAGTATTTTCTCTCTTTCCGTAAAATTGCGTGCGTCTGCATTTACCAGACTCCATGATGTATATTTAAAAATGATAAAAGCGACTAAACTTAAAATCGGAAAGAGAAAAATTAAACCAAATTAAACCACACGAAAAATAAAAGCAATGAATTTGATGTTTTCTTTTTTAATAATTTGACAATAGAATGATGTTCATACAGTCTCTGATAAATCTTTGCTTGTCCGAAACAGTGCATATCCACTTATTAGCGTCAAAAAATAATATTTTATAAATAATACTAGTATGAATGAAGAACTGAAATAAAAACATGCAACATACGTGCAGCTCACACGTGGCAAAAGTGAAACCATCAAATGAAATGAAATATAAAATACAAATACTTTATGGCATTGATTTATTTAATATTATAATTTAAACTACAAGTTCGCCATAAAATATAAGAAAATTTAAGTTTATAGTAATTAATAATTAATAAGCACAGTGTTTCACTTTTAATAATGAAACAAGGGCCTGCACTTACTTTATAGACTTCACACTTTTGGAAGCCTTGTCTCATACATTTATTATAAATTGTTTGAAGGCATTAACAGGATAAAAACTACTCTGTGTTTACTTCATCAATGTTAGATCCAGATTCAGGTTGTCTGAATAATCATCATTATCTTAATTGCAGCCTATCAAAGCTCACTGCTGAATGGCCACCCTATGTAATATATCTGAATAATTCAAATACCAAAATAGAAATATCTTCAAAATCAAACAGTTTCACATTTAGGTATATAATTAGAAGATTTCACTGTTAAAGTAATCTATTTACTTTTACTTACATCACAAGGGACGGCAGTCCTAAGCAGCTTTTTCTTGGAAGCATCAGTGAAATCATCATCATTAAAATGTTTTTCACATAACATTCTGTGCTCATTATGTAGCTTTGTCTGGAAAGCTAAAGAAGTATGCTGCTCTTCGACAGGAAACAAATATTTCGCCCACAACGTACAGCTGAAACCAAAAAAATCTTACTATTAAATACGAATATTATCAAAGTAGTTCCAATGGTTTACTAACCAATATTCTGTTTAGGATGGTTAAAGAGTATTATAACCTTTCATTAAAATTTGGATAAAAAACAGAATAACACATTAAAGTTAGAAATTATTAAATAGAGTGAATACGTACCGCAAAATATTCATTAATGAGGGTTTCGGAAACCTAAACAATTTAACGTTATCTACGGCCGGTGAACTGCCACACTTAAAACACTTTCTATTATTTTCTTTATTCGCCATTGCCCAACAAGCCAACAACAGCACGGTATGATATATTTTTTTTTTTAAATATGGCAACCTAACAATTACTGCCAACCTCCAGTCAATAAAAATACTTGTAACTTGAAATGAAACGACGGACAATCTAAAGAGAAACTACGATTCTGATTAAAAACCGAAATCATAATGTTAAGAACCATAGAATACTATAATAATGAATCATGAAATGACTTGTACTGAAGTATATTAAATAAATGATGGATGTAAGGTTGAATTAAAATAATACTAAACTCAATGCCACATTTAAAATAATAAGTATTACTAAATAAAGACGGTTGATTGCTAAATAATGAATAAAATTTTATAAACTAATATTATTTAAATCTAAAAATTCCATAAGACAATTGAAAACATTTTTTCTTTTTTTAGAAAAAATTAAAAGAGAACAAATTTCTGTAGGAAGAGGAATTTTAAGATTTACCAAAGTGTTAAATAATGAAGTATGATCATATAAAGGACACGAGAAGAAAATATGGTTGTGGTCACCAAATATCCAAACCACATTCACATATTGAAGAATTTTTAATATGAAGCCTAGCAAGGTGAACCGAATTACAGCAGTGACCCAAGCGCATTCTACATAACATTGATGTATGTTTCTTATTTAAGGATAATTTATAAAACCAAGGCTTAGAAGGAATGATGGGTTGAATTTTGGCATAGTGACAGCCTTTTGTCGTTTTGGTTTTGTTTCAATGTTTTGACCATCTATCTCTATATTTATACTAATTTCGTAGTTCTTATAAGGTCATAGCAATAATTTTTAAATAAGAAAGTATCCCCACAGACTATAGCTTCCTTAGCAAGTTTGTCAGCATATTCATTACCAGATATACCAATATGACTCGGAATCCAAACGAGAGAAATGTTGATGTTTTGGAATTGGTATAAGAATAGAAGTTTCTTAATTTCAAATATCAAAGGATTGCGGGAAATGTAATAGAAAGGATTACATAACAATGCTTGTAAAGAACTAAGAGAATCTGAAAATATCACGCTCGATTTTAATTTAAAAAGATAGCAATATTTTATTGATTGTAAAATGGCTAACATTTCTCCAGTAAAAACTGAAGATTCTGGAGGACTTTTCATTTTTTGAACTATTCTCCAATTTTGATGGTATATTGCATATCCAGTACAACCTTTTGAGTTAATCTTAGAAGCATCTGTAAAAATATAATGACAATCTGGGAAATTCTTGTCCAACGTAAATACAAATTTTTTATTTGATTCAATAGAAAATGTATTTAATCCTATATCTAATATAACATTGGGTTTGAAAAGTGCAACTTCAAACGAATTGGAGAAAAGAGACAGAGTCGCCGACCTATAAATAGGATCTAGTAAGGAATTATAATGTTCATAGCTTTTAACTAGGTTAGGAGTTTCTCTATTACGCCAGTATTTTCCTGAATTAATTGAAATGTACTGAGAAAGCAAACGAATTTTAGGGACTAATGGATGGTTTGAAAATTGAAAAACCCGATAAAAAAGGGAATCCGATAAATATTGTCGTCTAATAAAAAGTGGAGGATCACCGCATTCAATCTGCAAGGCATTCATAGGCGACGATAGCACCATAATTAATCTTAAAGACTTGTGTTGAATGATATCTAATATTTTTAATCCTTTTTTACTAGCTGGTTGAAGAAGAAATGAGGCATAATCTAATCGGCTTCTTATAATTGTATTATAAATTAATTTTAAATAATATGGAGGAGCGCCCCACCATACCCCGCACAAAGCTCTAAGAATGTTTATATTTTTTTCGCATTTTTTTTTTGGGTATAAATGATATGAGGCATGCCGGATAATTTATTATCAAGAATTACACCAAGGAATTTAACTTGTTGAATATTTACGAGCGGATAATCAAAAAGGCGAACTTGGATTTCAGGTAAAACTCTTTTGCGCGAAAAAAATTACTGCATTACTTTTATTTGGGGAAAGTTCTAGTCCATGATCATCTAACCAAGAGGCCATAGAGAGGAGATCTTGTTCTATCGCATTAGCACAAGATTCTATACATTTATCATTAACATAAACTAAGATATCATCAGCATATTGCAAAATTCTACACTTTGAAATAGACTGGTACAAATCTGACGTATAAATATTGTATAATAAAGGAATTAAAACGGAGCCTTGTGGAAGGCCTTTGAAAACCTTTCGAGTATATTTTAGATCATCATCAATTTTAATATGTATATATCGATCTAGAAATAAATTGATAATGAAATTTGTAAGTTTTTTGGATATATTAAGCTTAAACATCTTTTCTCTAAGGATGTTGAGTCTGACATTATCGTAAGCAGAAGAAATGTCAAGGAAAGCAGCAAGGACCGATTCATTTCTCGAAAATGCTAGTCTAATATCTGTGGTGAAGATAGAAAGACTGTCATATGTGCTTTTACCTTTTCTGAATCCATATTGGGTATTTGATAACAATCCATGACTTTCTACATACCATTCAAGACGGTTCTTGATCATATGTTCAAAGGTTTTAATTAGAGTTGAGGATAGAGCGATCGGTCTATAAGAAGAGCCGTCGTTAGGATTTTTGTCAGGTTTCAAGATAGGAATAATTACTTGAGTCCGCCAACAGTCAGGAACAAAGCCTATGTCAAATAAAACGTTAATGATATTTAAATAGTAGGATAAAATTTGATCATTACATTTGGCAAGCAGTGAATATGGAATACCGTCTAAACCAGGAGCTGAATCTTGAACGTGAGAAAGGACAAGCTTTAATTCATATAAAGAAAATGGACGTTCTAAGGGATCAAAAAAAAAGAATCACATGGAATACTTTGATGTAGCTCCTCTCTCAAAGGAGCAGAAGAGGGGGCAAGTTTATCCAGAAAAGTGTTTATAGATTGAGAGGGAATGGCACCACTGTAAGAACAAGATGAAAAACAACAGCGAAATTTTTTAATATTACGCCAAACAACTGATGAAGGTATTGAAGGAGAAATTGAGGAACAAAAGGCATGCCAACGTGTTTGTTTTTTGTGCGAAGAGTATTTTTAGTCACTTCTTGTACACGTTGAAGTTATGAATAGTTTTCCGAACTCATGTCTAATTTATATTGTTTTTCGGCTTTTTTCCTATTACGAATGGCCTCAGTACATTCAGAATCCCACCATGGAGGGGAGGTCCTACATTTATTATTTAGAGTTTTAACAGGAATTGTTTGAAATAGGAGCAATTTTTAGAATTTCATTGTAAAGAAAAATATTGTACAGGTTCCAGTCTGCTCTGTCTAATTTGTATTTAATACATGGTTTTTTGTTAATTTCTGCCAATTCTTTATTCGGAAAGGAAATCAGAATGGGAAAATAGTCACTGCCGTGAGAGCTATCTAGAACTGACCAATTTAGAAGAGTGGTTAAATCAGGAGTACAAATTGATAAATCTACAGCACGTCTAGACTCATTAGGACGAGAGCGTTTGGTAATTTTACCAGTATTGAGGACACCAATGTTAAGTTCGTCAACTATTTCAACTAATAAACTACCATATTTATCAGTATTATCACCCAGTATTAAAGTCACCAAGAATTACAAATGGTTTGGGTAGGGAGGCTATTAAAGATTTTATTCTGCGAAACGTAAGGACAGAAGGGGAGGGAACATAAATAGAAACGAAAGTAATATTTTGAATTCTTACTGCTACAATATTAAAGTCAAATATTTCATCATAAACATCTATAATGGAATAAGTTATATTATTTTTTATAAGCAAAGCACATCCGGCATAACCATCAGATCTGTCACTTCGAACAAGACAAAAACCAGGTACTCTGATGTTCCAATCCGGTTTTAGCCATGTCTCTGAAATAGCAGCGATACACACATTGTATTTTTTTAATAAATAGATTATTTCAGTACGTTTATCTAAAATGCTTCTACATTTCCATTGAAGGATCTTTGTGAGAGTGAATGTCTTGGAGAATTTTAGGTATAGAATTTAGTAAGCGTGCAACGTGGGACGGTAGCTTCGACGAATACGAAGATATGATTATGTTAATAAGGAAACTTATAATGCTTTCTACAGAATCAAAATTACCCTGTGAAGTAACTGGTGAAACCCGAAGAGCACAACCATCCTCAGGTTGCGGAATTGAAAAATCTTCAATAATTTTTTGATGACTTTTTTGTCGTATCCTGTTTGTGAATGGTGACGTAATGGTTTAGGAATATATAATGATTTCTTATAAGAAGTTTTATTAGATGTAGCGGGGTTGGAAGGAAAATTATCCATTGTAGGATTAGTAGAAAGCGAAGAATTTTCAGGGATTTTAGAAATCAAAACATCAGCATATGATTTTGAAGAAACTTGAGGATATTTTTGAGATGCTTCAAGGTATGAGATAGAATTTTGTGCCATTTCAATTTTAATATTATTTTGTCTTGTGTGTTCAGGACATCTCGAATCTGTGGCTTTGTGGTTACCTGAGCAAAATAAGCAACGAAAAGATACATTATCTTTGTCGCAAGAAGAAGAGGAGTGATCACCTCCACATTTTGAACATCTTGGCTTGGAACGACATAAATCTTTAGTATGTCCAAATCTGCAGCACTGAAATCATTGGATCGTTGGAAGCTTATAAATTTCAACAGGAATGGAAGAATAGCATAAATAAACCCTCGAGGGAAGAATTTGACCGTCAAATGTGATTACGACACTTTCAGAGCTTTCATATCTGACTTTGTCCTCGTTGCGAACTCGGTAATTTAATCTTCTTACTTTTAATACAGGAATGGTGTTTGGATACGTAGATAATTCGGAAATAATCTCTTCTGATGTCCAATCTTTTGGTACACCTTTTATAACTCCCATACGAGATAGGTGAAAGGATGGAA